CTCGATTACCATAGGCAATAATTCTAGGGCCATTTGTATCATTTTGTACAAGGACAGCACCAAGTCCGACAGGGCTAGCATCTGCTATCACCTGTCTTGCATCTCTGACGTCATAATACCCTAAAATCTGTATTTCCGTGAGCATCCGTTTGAGTTTTTGGAATGCTTTATCTTGTTCTCCAGACCATTGTTTTTCCAAGCTCTCCCTTTTGCTCATCTTCTGTCTTAACAGGTGCTTCAGAAGTTCTGTCATGGCGGCCAAGTTAGGTATCCATTTGTTTATGTAGTTTAAGAGTCCTAAAAAACTTTGGAGTTCTTCTATGGTCTTTGGGACCTTAAATTACATAATGCTCTCAACGTACTTGTTGAAGGGCTTACTCCTTCATGTGTAAGCCTGTGTCCCAGAAAATTTACATCCTGCGTTTTATATATGCATTTATTGCTATTCAGCACGGCGTTGTTTTTACTAAGTACCTGTAGAACTTTCTTTAGTCATGCGTCATGTTCTTCTTCACTGTTCCCGAATACCAGGATATCATCAATAAAATTGACGACCCCTTCACAGTTTATCAGCATCCTTTCAATGATCTTCTCAAAAATCTCGGAAGCGCAGGTAATTCCAAGCATTATTCTTTTATATCTATATACTCTTTTGGGGGTTATAAAAGTCGTTATGTGTCTGGATTCAGAGTGAATTTCCACTTGATGGAAGGCATTTTTTTATGTCTTAATTTGTTAAAATATTTAGCTTTCTTCATTTTAGGCAAAAATGGTCCATAGTAGGCAGGGGGTGGTTTTCTTGCAATATAACGGCGTTCGTATATCTCATATCTACGCACAAACGTAATTCACCATTTTCTTTCATGATTGGAACATTGGTAAAACCCATTTAGACGGGCCTTGCACTTCTTCAATTATATTACTGTTTAGTGATTTCTTAATTTTGATTGCAACCTTCTCTTTAAAGGGGATCGGCTTGCTTTTACTCTCCACTTGATTTATCCCGATACCAAGTTTTAAGACACCCAGTCGGACTGCTGTTTTCTTACCAAACAGGTTTCTAGTACCCCCCGAAATCACGTAAATGGTTGTATGTTCCTTTCGTCCATCGACTTGGAGTATAGTTTCAAATGAACCCTCTATTGCCAAAGGAGAGTTACTACCATATGCTAATTGTCTGGTCTTTACATTTGATTAAAAGCATATACTTTTTTGCTTTTTAACTCTTCCCACGTTTTGTAAGATATAAGGTTCTTGCGCAATTTCAAATTACACTTTTCCACAATTTGATCTATGAAATGATCATCTTGCCTTTCGATACACTTTTCGGCTTGTTGACGCAATCTTATCAAAACTTCTCAAATGTCTCTCCTTTTTTCTGTTTTAGCAATCGAAAAATATGCCGCTCATAAACTTTGCTCCGTTTAGGTTGAAAATACTCGTAGAGTTTTTTTTTTTTTATGGCTACTTAAAATACATCAACGGTTTCTTTTATCCCAGAGCCACCAAAATGCAATAGCGTAGCTCGTTTCTCGAGTGCTGATATAACTTCAGCTACGTCCAGATAGATTAGTAGAGACCTTTTCCATTTTCCACACCTTATAGCCATAGATGTGCTATCACATTAAAGCTGATAACGGTATCATTATTATTATTATTTTAGGGGTAAACTGAAACAGTTTCTTATATTTTTTTTCCAATTTAATGCTGGTATTTTAATACCCAAAGTCCAATTTAATGGTAGTAACTTAGTACCCAAAGTCCAATTTAATAGTAGTAACTTAGTACACAAAGTCCAATTTAATGGTAGTAACTTAGAACCCAAAGTCCAATTTAATGGTGGTACCTACCTTAGTACCCAAGTTCCAATTTAATGGTGGTACCTACCTTAGTACCCAAGCTCCAATTTAATGGTGGTACCTACCTTAGTACCCAAGCTCCAATTTAATGGTGGTACCTACCTTAGTACCCAAGTTCCAATTTAATGGTGGTATCTTAGTACCCAACTCAATTTAATGATGGTATCTTAGTACCCAACTCAATTTAATGATGGTATCTTAGTACCCAACTCAATTTAATGATGGTATCTTAGTACCCAACTCAATTTAATGATGGTATCTTAGTACCCAACTCAATTTAATGATGGTATCTTAGTACCCAACTCAATTTAATGATGGTATCTTAGTACCCAACTCAATTTAATGATTGGTATCTTGGTACCCAAACTCAGTTTCATGATAATAATATGTTCCATAACACTCGCCCTTCTCTTTCGGTTTATTTGTTATACCGACTACTTCCATCGCTGTGCCATTTAGGCTTTGGGTAAATTCAATACCTATATTGCGCATTTACCATTATTGATAACTTAGACAGCAATACCCTGAGAAACGCCGTAATATAAGAGATCAAATATTGTTGTACAAATTGCTTCATAATATCATCGGCTCTCCCCTACTTTTAGGCAAGGTGAATCTTGCGTGTCACAGGTTAGGTGCACGAAATAAACCACTTTTTGCATTACCTAAAGCTAAAACAAAAAAATGCCTCAAATAATTTTGTATCTCGTACATGCAAAAAGTTTAACTTAAAATATTGTAATTATTACATATTTTTCACCTTGAATATGATAGTTGCAAAGAAAATATTGTAAAACTTAATATATAATTGGTAGTATCACTTTGAGTTGTATATATAATGTTACTTTTAACTACTTACTACTTAATGTTTTAATTTATGAATACCATTTAGCTTGTTTTATTCTTTTATATTTTTAATTTTATACAACATAATATTGTGGTTTGCTTTTATTATGTATTAGATATCTGTGGAAACTTCATTGGTTTTTTGGATTACTTTTATATGTTTTATTATGTAATTTATTATTGCACTGTATGTTTCCCTTAAAAAGCAAATAAATAAATAAACAGTATTACTAGTACTGTTTATTTATTTATTATATAAGTAGGTAACTTTGCAATGTACAGAAGTCGTGAAGTGTCCACGATTTTTTGTAAGACTTATATATGCCATGAAAGCAGTAAAATAGTATTTTCATTAAAGGCGATAAATATCACACCTACATGTTAAATGCCACGAAAATTTAGCTAACGACATTGTATTTCGGTTCGAATCGAGAGGAGTTTTTAGTAACATCTACTATTTTTCCATCAAAAATCTTTTTATATAAAAGTTGTGCTAATAGACATATGTTAAAATAAATCATTATTTTATCATTGCTACATAAAGAAAATAAATTTTAGCACACCATAAGCGTGGTCAAATGCGAACATATATTTTATATAAATTATTATAAATGATCAGAACAGGGTTAAAAACAATAAATCATAATTCATAATCCACAGTTTTTTTTCCGCGGGTACTCTAGGAATTAATTTACAATTGCAATGCTAAGAGTTGCACATTGCTAACCTATTTTTGATTATATCTTTATACTAAATAGGTACTTATCTTTTTCCTCGTCGCCACTTGTAATGTCTGCTATCTTCTCTAACCACTGTAGTGTAACACAGGCTCGGCACGCACTTTAACTAAACAACACGTCTACTCTCGCCCGAGGCTCTCGTGTAACTGACGCGGTGCGCTCGAGACAGTGACTTATATATAAATGTATGTTTGTGTATTTGTGCATGGTAAATTATTAGTAAATAAAACAAATAACAATATTTACTGTATACTACATATAAGCATACACTACACTCGTAATATTTTAGTTTTCAATACAAAGATACAAACTAATTACTACTTTACAAAAGTAGTTGCGTTCCGTAGCTTCACCGGATTCGTCGTGATGGAAACAGAGGCTTGTGCTGGTAGGTACCTACCTAATTTTACTATATTTTAACTATGTAGCAGTATCTAAGTTATTCCGCTTAAAATATTTGATAGAGGGTTGAACAGAATAAATCAGATTAAAATTATACGTTGGTTCTGTTTATTCAACCGCCTCGTTACAGATGTGCAACCGACAAATATTTTCGATATTATTGGAGTCTTTTTATATTGTCTTTTGTTGAATTTAATTATATATTGAATCCTAACCGTAAATATAATTCAAAATAAAAATCGTGAGGGAAATCAATCACATGGTTATTAGAATTCAATTTTACTTAAAGCGTCATACAATATTTCCCAATATTTGGAAATAATATCGAGTAATATCATGTTGCTGGGAGAACAAAAAACGCGCGCATCTGATTCCGTGTACATGACACTCCTAAACGGGCGTACCGGTATGCAAGTGAAGCCGACCGGTACGTCGCGGGCAGGGGGGGACTCCGCTCTCCTTCATACCGCGCCTCATCGTTGCTCCGTTTACTCGCCGAGTTGACTCACTATCAGTATTCATTATATATATGACACTAGTATGCATCATATATACATCATTTTTTTAATCATGTTGTAAACTAAACTCCCCTTAACCTTTCAGTATACACAAAGCAAATGCATAAATCTCATTAATATCAGTTTGTAAACAGCCCACTGTTGGCATATATCTCATTAAAGTAGATGCAATTTACGTTACCATCATTTATACACAGAAGTTTGCCATTTTTGTTTGTTAGTACTGCAATTGCACATTATTCTTATATGTGGTAGAGCACGCTGCAGCCATATTATAGTTATAGAACGAATGGGTCGGCTCGGGGTAGGACCACGTTCTCGCAGAATAACAGCGTAAAATAGCAGCTTAATGTTGCTGTGTTTCGTATGGTGAGTGTAGAGAACCGGACACACTTTTTTACTGGAAACGAGGCATTCCATCTTAGTCCTCAGGGGTGACAACACATCTGCATTTTAATTCTTAAGTGAGAATAAATGGTTATGTCTATGGGCCACAGCATCCGCTTACCATCAGGTGGACTGTGTGCTCGTTTGTCATCCATATACTATATATAAAAAAAGCACTAATGTCTTGAAAGTATATTTTATTATATTAATACTATACATATTGTTATAAGAAAATATTTATTTTACAGTTGAGGACAACCCATTCTTAAAGTGGAGTGAACCGGGCATTGGCCGCTATTTGTTTATGATGGCGCTAGTGGGTGTAATCGCATTCACAATTCTGCTTATTAAGGAGTACGAAGTTTTGAACAAGGTACAAATAAGTTTCCAAATAATATAGTAAATATAAGTTAATAATAATTTTATGTAATTAAAAATTTAATTTACATAATAATTATTAAAAATATAAATTATTACGTATAAATAAAATTAAAGTGTATGTCTGTAATATCGAAATAACTGCCTTCTATTGAGCTGAAGGGGTTATTTGCATGCCATTAAGAAATTAATAACTATTTTTTAAATGTTTGTATGTCTGTCCGGGCTAATCATCGGAAAGGCTGAACCCATTGTGATGAAACTTTAGGAACAGATACAGAGAAATGCCAGGAGGGATCTGAGCTATATTTTTTATTAAAATTTCGAATATCTTTTTGGAAAAAGAAAATTATTCAAATATATGGTCGTTGTCCGATTGCCTTAAATCTAAATAACACAACATGAATAGATTCTACCCAGGCGAAGCTGGGGAAAGTCGCTAGTCATTTGTAAATATAGAGAGTAATTATAGCAAGGAATAACAAAAATAGCCATTTATTGGATAATTTACCATTTCTTAAACTTACTTTTTAATAAAAATATGTTTGTACTTAATTATTTTAGTCAATTACTTTTATATATATTATGTAATTAATTTTGTTCAGGTATTCTATAAAGAAAGTCCACACAGACCACCCGCGGTAGACTCAACAGAAGACAGCGACGTAGCAGCCGAACGTTCTTTCGTACAAGAGCTCACCCGAACGGAGATCGGACAGCAAAGTCTTGTCTGCAGGGATCTCACTAAGTACTACAAGGAATTCCTAGCAGTAAATAGAATCTCTTTTGGTAAGTGTACAAAATATTCCTACTGTCATCAGTAAAGCCAATGTATCTATATATATATATATATATATATATATATATATATATATATATATATATATCTATATATATAATTATCTTTCATTTATCAAAGCTTAGTAGCTTTGATAAATGAAAGATAATCCTCAAATTTTTGGAAAAAGTAAAGTTATAGTTGACCACTTGCTAAAATCTAAACAAAAAGCACAGTGTAAAAATTAACAGTGTGACATCGCCTTGGAAGTTTAGCGAAATACCGCTTCCGTTTAGACATACGTTACTGCTGCAGGGTTGTCACATAAAATTTTATATTTTTAGTGTTCCATATTCGTCTATGTGTGTGTATGTGTGTGTGTCTATATGATACAACGAATATAATTAATAGTAACATTTCTAATGGAAATCTTTTAATTTTAAACAAAAATACTATAAATTATAAAATAGGTTAATCAGTGCAACTTATATAAAAACAACACCTAAAACATCGAATTAACAATTTGTCATGTTTTCTTCTCTCCGACATATATAATTATGATATTGTTTATAACGTAATTATGTCCTTTAAAATCCAAACCTCAAATAAGTTGTTCTTCAGGCTATCACGAATTTTCCCAATTAAATGTTGTCTTCCATATGCTTGAAATCAATATTAATATACTTTTCATATGCAGTAAATGGTTGAATCTGGTCTTGCAAATGTATTATTATAAAATATTAGTAATCAGCACTCCCGTAACGAAAACGAAAAATACCCATCATGATTTTTTTATTTTATAGGAGAGGAGGCAAACGAGCGTGCGGCTCACCTGATTGTAAGTCACTACCGCCGCCCATGAACAACTGCAACACTAGGGAGGTAATTGCAGATGCGTTGCCGGCCTTTTAAAAAGGAGTACGCTCTTTTCTTGAAGGTCTCTAAGTCGTATCGGTCCGGAAAAATCGCTGATGGTAATCGATTCCACAAAGAAGTCGTACGAGGAAGAAAATATCTTCTAAATCTCACAGTGGTGGACCGCCAATCATCCAGATGGTGTGAATGGTATCGGGAGTTCTGCCGCGATGTGCGTTCGTGAAATTTGGCGGCTCTGATTAATCCGAACAATTCCTCAGAGCACTCCCCGTGATAGATGCGAAAGAAAATGCAAAGGGATGCAACATCTCTTCGCAGTGCCAATGAATCGAGCCGATCGGAAAGAACTCGGTCGTCGACGATTCGAGCCGCTCTGCGCTAGATGCGGTCAAGTGGAAGGAGCTGGCACTGGGGAGCCCCTGCCCAGAGATGAGAACAGTATTCCATGTGAGGCCGAACCTGCGCCTTGTAAAGTTGCAGGCGGTGTGCCGGCATGAAATACTGTCCCGATCTGCTGAGCACGCCAAGCTTTTTAGAGGTCAATTTGACCTTCTCTTCCAAGTGACCACGAAACTGCACGTCACTCGATATGTCGACTCCGAGGATTCCGATACTGGCTGAGGCAAGAAGGGGAGTGCCTTGAAACTGAGGAGATACGACAAAGGGTTTCTTTTTAGCGGTAAACGCGCAAACTTGTGTCTTCTGAGTATTAAACTGGACTAGATTTAGTCGCCCCCAATCCGAGACTTAGTTCAGCAAAGACTCGACTTCAGACACAAGTTTGTTCCGGTACTCGGCGACGTTTTCCCGAGAAATATTGGCACGGCCGGTGTATAGAGCATCACCAGTGCTGTCATCCGCATAGCAATGAATGTTACCAGTTAGCAACATATCATTAATATGCAGAAGAAACAGCGTTGGTGATAGATAGCACACAGCCTTGTGGAACACCAGCGTTAATAGGCTTGTAGTCAGAGCACGCACCGTGTAAACCACCTTGATGCTCCGATCTGCAAGGAAGCTGGTGATCCAATTGCACAATTTCTCGGGAAGCCCATAGGAAGGGAACTTCGAAAGAAGCGCTTTGTGCCAAACCCGATCGAAGGCCTTCGCAATGTCCAAACTAACGGCCAACGCCTCCCCCTTGGACTCTACTGCCTCCGCCCATCTATGGGTCAGGTAGACCAGAAGATCACCAGCTGATCTACCCCGACGAAAACCGTATTGGTGGTCACTAATCAGCTGGTGATCCTCAAGGTACCGGATGAGCTGGCAGTTAATAATAGATTCCATTATTTTGGAAAACAAGGATGTGATCGCGATAGACCTATAGTTGGACGGGTCTGCGCGGTCGCCTTTTTAGGGATCGGGTGGACAAAAGCTGTCTTCCATGAATTCGGGACTACGCCTTGGGAGTAGGAGTACCGGAAAAGACACGTTAGAACCAGTGCCAACTCCGGAGCACACGTCCTCAGCACAATTGGGGGCATTCCGTCAGGCCCACTCGACTTCTGGATGTCCAGGGAGAGAAGTACTTTGCGAACCGAGCGCTGTGAGAACAGCACATCCGGCATGAAGCATTCACACCGCGGGATGGTCGGCGGTATTTTCCCCCCCTCATCAAGAGTCGAGTTGGACGCAAAAAGGGAGCCTAAAAGGTCGGCTTTGTCTTTTGCGGCTTGGGCCAGAGAGTCGTCCTCCCTGTGCAGAGATGGTAGTAATGGCTTACAGAAATTCCCTTGGACAGCCTTGGCGAGAGACCAGAATGCACGGGTTCCCGAAGGAAGGCGAACTAGTTTCTCGCTGATTCTGCCTATGTGCTCTGACTTTGCCTTGGCAATAACTCTTTTGAAGGACCTGGAGGCGAAGTTATACTTCTTTTTAAGTATGCTGGTGTTTACATCCCGAATCGCCGAAGCCGCAGCCCAGGCTTGATATCACTCCTGCTTACTGCGTAATGCAGTCTTACAGGAGCGACCAAACCAAGGGTGAGATCTGCCTCCGATGGGTACCACAGATGATGGAATAAATAGTTCCATTCCCTGTAGCACCACATCAGTGACAGAGTCAGCAACAGCGCTGGGATCATCCGGCTAGAAGCAAACCCGCCCCCATGGGTAGGATGCAAAAAAAGACAGCATTCCGTCCCAATCCGCCGACCTGTAATGCCAAACACGGCGGCAACCTGCAGAACGCAACCGCGAAGGGAGCGTTAGTGGCACCATACTCCGGATCAGACAATGATCCGAAGAGCCGAGAGGGGCATCGACGGAAACCTGATATCCGTCCGGATGAGAGGTCAGCAGAAGGTCCAACAGGGAAGGTGTATGATCCTCCACATCTGGAATCCGCGTAGGCGAAGTAACCAGTTGTGTCAGACCATATGCCAAGGCAAAGTTTTAAACAGATCTCCCCGCATGATCGGTTAAACGTGAACCGAGCCATTCGGCGTGGTGGGCGTTTTAATCGCCAAGGATCACGATGTCTGCCTATGGGACCTGTTGTAGCAAGGAATCTGTAGCCATTTGGACGTGGTCGATGAGTCGGTCTGTTTCAACATTACCGCTATGGGACCTATAGAGGCACCCGTAGACGCGCGGATGGTCGTCGCTGTTTACGCGTAACCAAAGGATGTACAGGTCCGAACTGCCGAGGCGTCGAGAACAGGTGTCCTCTCTGACATACCCGCAAACTCCAGCCCGGGGTTCAAAGGGGTGCTCCAATTTGTACCCCGGGTAGGAGAGATACGAAATATCGCCTTGGTATTGTTGCTCAGTTTGCCCCGAGCAGTTATGTTTTTGAGTGGAATTTTGCCCCCCCCCCCCCCCCCCCCCCCCCCAGAATACGCGGGGCAGCCTGAGCACCCACACTCAGGATTGGAATAACATGGTCGTGGATGCTCAGCGAGGGATTCTCCAGGGGTACTGGTACCCTCCTGGGGTAGTCTTTCGTGTAATTCCGCTACCATGTTGATGGGGGGGGGGGGGGGGGGGAATTGAGCCTCCGGCCACCTGCACTCACCAGACGAAACGCAGAAACAGAGCTTCTACTTCACGCCGCTATTCTGTGAGGTCGTGGTACCAACCCGGCTTGAGCCGGCCCATACGTGCAACAGCAAAAACTGCTGCGTGGCTCTACCACCGTTAAATGTTGTGATGATGTTCAAAGGGTAGTCAAGCTCCACAGACCGTAGCGAAACTCGGATTAACACGCAATAAGGCAAAACCATCAATTCGGATTTCTACTGCCAACAACTAATGAGACTCAAGCAAGAATTTGGGAAAAAATGGCCGGAATTGATCAACAGAAAAGGAGTAGTCTTTTATCATGATAACGCCCGGTCACACACATCTTTGGCCACTGAGCAAAAATTGAGAGAGCTTTGTTCGGAAGTGTTAATGCATCCATTATGTAGTCCTGACCTTGCACCCTCAGATTTTCATCTATTTTGGTCTCGTCAGAATTCTTTTTTGGGTAGTGTTAGGTTAACATGAAGAAGGGACTTTCAAAACTACTTACAAAAATCCCAAGATTATTTCTAGAACAATGAGATTATGTCATTACCTACAAAATAGCAACAAGTTATCGAACAAAATGGCACATATACATTGTAATTAAATGTAATTATAATTAGAAAAAAAGCCTTGAAAAAGTTGATCTGCCCTTTCCTGACATGACCCTTTCTCCAATAAAAAAATCCTTAAATTCCTAATAAAAAATGTTAAGGGTCACTTATCGGGATAAAAACTGTCCTATCTCTCAAGTGGACCAAACTGCACACAGTGTGCAAAATTTCATTGAAATCAGTTCATTCGTTTAGGAGTTCATCGCGGACAAACAATGTGACACGGAATTTTTATATATATAGATATATAAAATACGAAGAAACTTCTTTCCCCAACATTATAGTTAGTTTCCTTCGGTCGTTTCTTACGATATGGGGTAGTGGATATTCTTCCACCGCTCTACACGGTTAGAAAGGATTACTAACACCTAAGAAAATGAAATGTTGGTGCAGCGGTGCACAAGGGCGAGTGCTTCGGGCTGCTGGGCGTGAACGGCGCGGGCAAGACGAGCACGTTCCGCATGCTGACGGGCGACGCGCGCATCTCCTGCGGCGACGCCTTCGTGCACGGCCTGCCCATCAAGTCGCGCCTGCAGGACGTCTACCGCCACATCGGTCAGCGTACACACATTATTTTTAATATAATATAATGTAGTTTATTTTGTTTCAAATATAAATTCTAGCAAAATAGTCTACTCAGCTCCATTATTATAGAAACCACATAGCGGTAACTATAACGTTAATTTTCAGTACACGCCAGAGAAATGGGTTCAATAAACTAAACTTGAACTAATCACGGGCTCCAACACGAAAATAAAGACATACACTTACAAAGGTTAAAAAAAATTTAACATTAAAACGGCACATAAATTATTTAAAATATTTTCTTATATTTTAAATAATTTATGTGCCGTTTTTAAATTTAGAAAGTAAAATTTAAGAATTTCATAATTTTATAGTACACAATATACAATATACTCGTATATAGGGGGTGGGGAGGCGTCCATGTCAACCATTGTGTAATTATCCGTGTTGTTGCGGAAAATCGGTTTATCAAATTATCCTACGACACGTGTATATATATATATATATATATATATATATACAGTGTGTCCGGTCACGACCTAGCGATAATTTAAGGTTAAAAATATACCTAATTTCATCAACAAAAACACCCATATATGGGGGTCTACCATAGGTCCTGTCGGAATGGTTATTCTTGTAGATACATTTCCTATGACAGGTGATTCATCGACATATCACTAACTCTGGTAATTTTGCAAGTTTAAAAGGTATTCTTTTAGTTTTATCTTGAATGTGTGAACCGTGTTGCTATTTTTGATCGGAATACAAGACATGAAAATACTTGCATAGGAAAACGATCCATATAATTATATGAATTAGGAACATAACCGTATTTGCGATTAAAAATACTCCTTATTCATCGTAGGACAACAAGGAATAAGTATCCTATACAAGTATTTTCAATTTTGGATACCGAGGATAGGTTGCGAGAAGCGCAAGTCTTGGGGTGTTGGCGGGCGATACGTACAAGATTATGGCACAACCCAAACTATACTGAATACTAACAAGTACTTTGAAGTATTTAAAACCTGGTTTTTGACCGTAGTATTTTTACGTACTCATACTTAGAAGTAGAGATGTTACGAAGGTTCGATTCCGAAAGTTCGGAACTTCCGATTGATTTTGCACCTCCGACTCCGATTTCGGTTCCGTTAATTTTAATCGGAAGTTATATCAGAGGTCTATGCACAGCGGCGGCGGCGATCGCAATCAGCGAGTACAAACAAGTTAATACTTGTCACCCCGGGAACCACCCTCCTCCCGTGCCTTCTATCGATTACTCATTAACTTGATGTATTGTTTCGTAGGTATTTGGCAATTGACATGTTATATGTTCGCACTTCATTTATACTTATTCGAGTTTTTGATTAGTTTTAGTAGTTTTATATTAGACGATTGACAAATTTATTTGAATTAGACAATGAAGCCGAAAACAAGTGTCATTTGGAATTATTTCAATGAAGTTTCTGGGAATACGGCAAAGTGTAAACTATGTAAGAAGCTCTTGATAAAGAGTAATTGTGTTCTGTGGTCAGAAGATATATTCACGAAAGGGAGGTACGACTACTTACTTCGTTAAAAAGTCATTTAAAGTATGTGCATGTCACTGAATTTGAAGAATTCAATAAATTAGAAACTGAAAAGAAAAATACAGTGCAGCCTTCGACTTCAACGCCTGTACAAGAGGTAAAAAAACAAATTACTCTCAAATACAGTTTGATGAAGAATCAAAAAGGGTGTAGTTCTAACCCTAAATCAATCGAAATAGATAAATTGATTTCTGAAGTGCTTTCTTTGCAAGACATTCCCTTCAATTTCGTGGAAGGTATTGGATTCAGACGGCTTATGCATTTCATAGCGCCGAATTATAAGTTAAGGGGAAGACATTTTTTTACCGAATATATTTGTGGTGAGTTATACACAAAATTAGCAGGAAAGATAAAGGTTTTGTTAAAACAATTTGAGAAAATCTCATTTACAACAGATATTTGGAGCGACCCAAGTTTGAATGTATCGTTATTAAGTCTAACAGCGCACAGAATAAATGAAGATTTCAAGAGAATAAAAGTTATTTTAAAATTTCACACATTTCACGGAAAACATACACGAAACCTAATCCAAGAAAAAATTGATGAAATGTTAATGGAATGGAATGTGAATGTAAATGGAAAAATGAGACTCGCCGCTATACCTGATGTCAATTGTACGGTACATCAGTTACAACTATGTATGCGATCTATGTTAGATTGTGATGAACAAATCAAAAACTTAATAACGAAATGCAAAAAAAATTCGACGCATTTTAATCACCCCCAAGTTGCTCAATCGGAACTGCACAAAAAACAAAAGGAACAACTTAACCAAGATGTTTTAGGTGTGGTGCAGGAGTGTAATACGTGGTAAGTTTTCAAATTATTTTTTTTTGTTTTTATCACACTGATATGTATCCCTATTCCCTACCTATCCTGGGTTTCTTGCTGGTTCTTCCCAGGACAGAGGTATTTTCCGAACCAGTGGTAAATAAAAAATAACTTTCAATAAGTATTATGTAATAATCAATATTGAATAAAAATTATTCTATTCCATTCTATTCTATCCGTTTGTTACACCTTGTAGCCAAGCCACTGAATCAATTTTGATAAAACTTGGTTTTAAACGCATTCGCATTAAATAGTATATATTTATAATTAAATTTGATATATAATTTACTTATATTTTATTTAAAAGAGTTAAGAATTAAACTAATTATCTTGTGTAATAAATAATCGCGCAATCCTCTCAAATTACTACCATTATTATTTTTGTCAATTTAACTTTTATGGCTCAATGGTAAAACATTGTTATTCTTATTTAATTTTACTTTTTTATAGGTGGAATAGCACATTTTATATGTTGAAACGAATGATTAAAATATATACAGAATTCACTTTGCTTGTACGCAAGTAAACACAATATCCCACAAATAATGAAGAATGGCTGCAGCTCAAGAAACTAGTTACCATACTTCATCCTTTTGAGGAGATTACACGGAACATGAGCGACAGTAACACAAGTATCTCATCAGTAATTCCGTTAATACATACATTAAAGTGTTCGTTACAATTAGAAGACAATAAGCCAGACACAAATGAAATATTTAAAACTGTAATAAAATTTACTATCGACCAACTGAATTCAAAATGTGGAGACCTTCATTCTTATAAATTGTTTACAATAGCTACATATCTGGATCCTCGTTACAACGGAAAATTTTTCAGCGAAGTAATTAAAGAAGAGATTGAGTCCCAATTGATGAGTTTATTTAATGGTGCAAATAAATCTGCAAATGAAGTTCAAAATATTGACGTTCCAGATTGGCTCAACACTTAGCGAATATACTCTCACCGCTCAAGGGACATACAAGAGCACACACAAAGGATTCCTACCAATTTGTCAGCGAGATTAAAGACCTACATCTGGCAGACAATGAAACTATGGTCAGTTTTGATGTGCAGTCTCTGTTCACATGCCTACCTGTTGAATACTGCATCTCGATTGTTACTAGAAGGCTAGAGGAAAACAACATGCCCGTAGAATATGCAGTATTACTCAGACACTGTCTTACATCTGGCTACCTATTGTGGAAGGAGGAGTGCTACAAGCAAGTAGATGGAGTGGCGATGGGCTTACCTGTATCTCCCATTGTTGCCGATATATTCACGGAGGACTTTGAGGAGAAAGCCCTCTTCTCCCGTAAACCCAAGATTCTACAAGCGGTACGTAGACGGCACTTTCACAATTCTACCTTAGATAAAGTAACTGCATTTCTAGACCATCTTAACTCCTTAAATTCTAAAATTCAGTTCACAATGGAGTTAGAGGCAAATAATTATTTTTTCTTTTCTAGATGTGTTAGTAATTCGGAATCCTGATAACACCTTGAGCCACACTGTGTATAGAAAAAAGACCCATACATATAGATATTTAAATGGTGATTCTCACCACCATCCTTCACAGTTAGCTACCGTGGGTAAATCTTTGTTTCAGAGAGCACGAGGGATCTGTGACAGTAAACACCTGGCCGCCGAGCTCCAACACGTCAAGCAAGTTTTGCACGACAATAAGCTTCGGGTCCCGGGTCCCGCGCCTACGTCACAGTGAACGAGTGAAGCCGGCCACAGTCGAGCGTGTGCCTGCTGTACTGCAATATGTCAGAGGTGTCACTGACAAGATTGGCTACATCTTGAAGCGTGCTTCCATTAAAACATATTTCAAGCCGCCGAAGAAGATTGGTCAGTTTTTACCATCAGTCAAGTGTAATATTCCTCTGCAAGATGCAGGAGTGTACAAGCTTCATTGTGAATGTGGTATCTCTTATATAGGACAAACTAAAAGATCCATAAAAACCCGCATTAAAGAACACACATAGCTGATGTGAAGAATAGACGTTCCGGGAAGTCTGCAGGCTGTGAACACGTACAGGATCGCCCCCGTCACTACATTACATTTGATAGACCACAAATCCTCGCTAAAGAACACCGATTCCTTCCAAGGATGATTCGCGAGGCTATTGAAATCAAGAAACCATCTGCTTGGGATCCCATAATTAATAAAATTAAATCCCAACCCAAGCATACAACTGCAAGACTTCATGATACTGTAAGTTCATACTGCGTAGATCGGAACAAAAATTAATAATTTTTAATCTGGAGGTAGCCGTGGTTAACTATGACAATGGGACGTCATACACCTCAGTACCCCCCCGTGACCATGGGTGCTGTAAAGTGCTTGAAACGTCGGAAATGTAAAATAAGTTAATATACGCGATAAAATCCGTAAAATTAGTTTTATTTAAATTCTTTTGTATTATAAATTTGATCAATGTCTGTCCAATAGTTTTTGAGTTATTCTTAATAATTTAAATTAAGTCGGTTATACAACATTTTTAATTATATTATGTTTTATTAGACCTGCCCTTAACACATCTCTCTTTTGCCTCCACCTTCGGTTCCGATTCCGATTCCGTTTCCGATAAACAAAATTTAAAAACTCCGCTTCCGAATTCGGTTCCGATATAACCAGTTCCGTAACATCCCTACTTAGAAGCCCTGGTATTTAATTTTGTTTAATTAAACAAAACAGTGACTTTCAATAATTATTATTAATAATCTATATTGAAAAAGTATCTGTTTCTGTATCTCTTATGACGTATTTTAATATGTGTGTATTATTTCAGGTTACTGTCCCCAATTCGACGCACTGTTGGACAATCTGACGGCAAGAGAAACACTTCGAATTTTCTGTTTGCTACGCGGCATCCCAGTGAAAGTTGGATCAACCAGAGCCTTGCATTTGGCCGGAATGCTCGGCTTTACAAAACATTACGATAAGAAGGTCTGTATTTTTAAACGTTTTCAAAAAAACGTGAATGTTATTTTATATTCGACGCGTATGTTTATATTATGTATGTACACCGATTTCTCGTAATCGGCTGAACCGATTTAAATGATTGTTTCTTTTTTTATTAAAAAGTTATTATTTATATAAATATAATCTGACTTTTTTAATTAAACTGTCCGTCGGAGTCGTAGAGAGTTCCTTGCTGTAGCATATGACGTTCTTATTCAAGTTAGAAGTTCGCAGAGAGTGTTTTCAGAAATTGCTGGACTGCGGGGAGCTCTAAGTCTCGATGGAGGTCGGCGTTACGTACATACCAGGCTGTGTTCGTAGCCCGACGACAAAAAAGGTTTTGAACTATTTGGAGTTCGTTAATGATTTTGGGATTAGCGTGGGCAAATATGGTGCCCGCGTAAGTCATGACTGGTCGTAGGAGACCCGATTAGGCTGAAACTTGGTATATATGCTCACAATGAGTCACTCAACTAGCGCCTACCTTTTTTTTTTTTTTGCGGATGGAAAATCATCTAATGACGCCTTTCGCTGTGGGTGGAGCGGAAGGGAGTGTCAGACTTTTACTGACTAAAAACCATCCGTGTTCCTTCAGTGCCCTTACGTTCCGGAGCCGCGGTATCTCTTTCGAACAGCCCGCAGCCCCGGCAGGCGTCGGCCCTTGCGGGCCCCTTCACGCTGCTGACAGCTCTTTGAGGCGCGCGTGGAACAAAACGCGCCGTCGACACGGCCTGTCGTCGTTAGACGGACGGACGGCGAGCTACCCATTGCTCGCCGTCCACAGGCCCGCGCCTACGGTGGTCGGGGGCCACGACGTAGCCCCCGACGCCCGGGGCGTCTCCCGCGGCGGCCGGGAAGGAAAGCTGTTGCTCTTTCCTTCTCCCGCTCCGCCACCTCCTTCGCTAGCATCACTGCTTCGCAGAAGGTGGTGACGGCATCCCATTCCGTCTCGCTCCGGACCATGGCTTCGACCAGAGCCGGACGCGAGAGGTCGCCGCCGCCTATCGCCGCTACGAGGACACGGCGGTGCTCCGCCCAAGCAGAGCACACCTCCACGGTGTGCTCCACCGTGTCCTCCGGTCGATCCTCGCAGTGGGAGCACCCGGGCGTTTCCTCCCGCCCGATTCGGTGCAGGAACCTCCCGAACACACCGTGTCCGGTGAGGACCTGCGTCAGGCGGAAGGTGAGGACGCCGTGGCGTCTCTCAAGCCACTCCTCAAAGAGGGGTCTTATCGCCGCTATAGTGGCGTGCCCAGCACGGGGTTGCGACAGTCGCTCTCTCCATGTCGCCATGAGATCATGCCGGAAGTCTGTCCGCTGCGCGACAACTTGCCGCGGCAGCGGGGTTTCCCCCCGGCATAGTGCTGCCGCGCGCCATTCGTGCAGGCGCGCGAGGACTATCGCCTCCAGATCCCATGGCGGCAATCCGGCAAGGAGGCTCGCCGCCTCGCGGGAGATCGTGCGGTAGCCGCGAACCATCTTTACGGCAACCACCCTTTGGGGCGCGTTTAGGTGGTGGACGGCAAGCCGCGCCAAACCACGCGCCCACACCGGGGCCCCGTAAAGGGCCATGGACCTCACGATCCCCGCGTAGAGCCTCCGGCAGGAGGCGTTTGGCCCCCCCAGGTTCGGCAGGAGCCGCCTGAAGGCAGCCCCGGTCCGTTCCAGTTTGGGAGCCAAACGTCGGAAGTGCTCAACGAAGTTCCATCGGCCGTCGAGGACGAGTCCTAGGTACTTCAACGTCGACTCGACGCCGATGGATACCCCTCCTACCATCACTGAGGATCCCGGTGGTGGCCTGTTCCGAGGACCATGGAAGTGCATGGCCTCGGACTTGTGCAGAGCCACCTCGAGACCCAGTTGCCGGATCCTCTCAACGACTATCGCAACCCCGCGTGTCATAGTTTCCGCCGCCGCCTCGTACGACCCCCCTTGTGCCAGTACCAGCGTGTCGTCAGCGTAGCAAACTACGCTGACGCCGGTAGGGAGGTCGGCGCGCAGCACCCAGTCGTAACCGATGTTCCACAGGGGCGGCCCCAGAACCGAACCCTGTGGGACACCGCACGACATAACTAGCGCCTACCTGGATGAGTAAACTGAACCACGCGTCCCAATGTAATAATAATTTTCAATTTATTCTATAATCGATACAGACAAAACAAACTGTTTCCCTAAGCAATGTTAGGAGCAAATATGAAGTGGCACATACATGCACGAATGTCTCAGAAAGCCAATTTCAGCACGGCCTAGAATGAGCGGACCTAAATTGTAATAGGTGATGGGACTCCTTTTCTCCCTAGGAGTTTGTCTGGTTAGGTACCATATAGCAATGCTTGCATTGTTGTGTTCCTATCTTATGAGTATAGAGAATCAGCATGGATACAGGCTGTAAGGTATTCGATCTTGGTCCTCAGAGATGACAACACATTTGTCGTTTTATTTTATTTAAAGTTGATTTGCAGAAGTGGCTACTATCAGGTGGATTGAAAGTTCATTTGTCACTTCAATTATTTTTTTTAGTCCGACTGTACCCTTGTGTATAAATACCAGTTCAGGCTTCCAATATCGCAACTAAACGATTAGACACTGTGCTACCGAGCCTCCTTTGGTGTTTTGACTTAGTCTTATGTTACTTTAGATTTACGAATGCAGCGGTGGCACTAAAAGAAAAGTAAGCACCGCACTGGCTCTACTGGGTGACTCGCCACTTGTTTTCTTGGACGAACCGACTACAGGTACGTAATTTGATATGTACATATTCTATCTATCTTACAGTGATTGTCTACGTATTCACAAGAGTGAGTTTAAATGCTGAGCGCCTTAATGTGACTGATTGAAACTCATTCATAGTTTAGTCCACTCCATTTCATTCTAATATTTAAAAAGTAACAGACAATCACTATTTGTTCGGGTAGTTTTAAAATTGTGGAATATATATGTATTTAGTGCGTCTATTATTGATCGTTAACTTCTAAACGACTTGACCGTTACACATATTTTGACGATAGTTTGGTCAGACCCTAGCCGATAGGTAGCGCTGTAGTGATTATTAACAAAGAATATCACAAAATCTGGCCCCGATTACTGATGATGTGGCCTGTGTGTGGATTATTCATAATTTTTATATTTACATTGTAAAAAAATCCGGATAGAATTCATAAACAACAACAAACGCATCGTGCCACCTAACGGAAAGTGCAGATCAACATCTGCCTGGGCAACTAGTACTAATATTAATGTCTATGGTGTCGGTATTCAACGTAAAGTGAACTTTCTATTAGGAATGGATCCGGCTTCGAAGCGGCTTGTATGGTCCGCCATTAACGAGGCGGTGATAGCGGGTCGCAGCGTCGTGCTCACGTCTCACAGCATGGAGGAGTGCGAGGCGCTTTGTTCGCGTCTCACTGTGATGGTCAATGGACGCCTCTTCTGCCTCGGTCCATTGCAGCATCTTAAGAGCAAATTCTCGCAAGGTAACCGACACCAGTAGTCAATATACCTGCCTGCTTGGTCCTAGTTGTGACTTCTTTCCCTATCAACCCGCAAAGATTCCCCAGGGTGTAATTTTTTATAGAATAAGGGTAACCAAACGAGCACGCTGTTCACTTGGTGGATGGTTAGTGGATGCTGTGACCCATAGACATCTACATCTATCCTCGATTAAGAATCAAAATACAGATGCGTTTTCACCCCTGAGAACCAAGGACGAACGTCATGTTTTCTGTAAAAAGAGTCTCCGGTTATCTACACTCACCGACGAAACCCAGTATCATTAAGCTGTTTTTTATGCTGGTATTGTGTGAAAGTGTAGTCGAGTGGACGCGTTCGCGCTACTACAATAATATAGATGCAGCATGTATCTACCACGTAGAAAGTGGGCCATGATCTTCAGGCGGATTGGCTAGCTTCCACCCGCCCTCTTGCTGATATACCAGGTGGCCCATAAGTCGTTAGAAATGTAAATTTCGAATAAAATACAAAAGGCGCGCATGAGTGGCGCGCGCGGTGCGGGGGGAGTACCGACGGTTTCTGGGAATTCAGTCACCATGGAGCGTTTCACCGGTGCGGACCGTGCATTTTGTGTGCGCGAGTTTTATCGAAACAATGATTCGGCTACCATTGCGCGGCGTAAATTTCGAGAATATCAGAATTTACGCAACTTTAAAGACATTCCAAGTGTTCAAACGATTAAGAACTGGGTTATTAAGTTCGAAGAGAGTGGTTCGACGTTGGATAAACAACGGTCAGGTCGACCAAGGACATCACGGACGGAAGAAAACATCGATGTAGTGAAACACTCAATTCGTGAAAATCCTACCCAGTCTACTCGTAAGCGTTCCAGTGCATTAAACTTACCCAGAACATCGTTACAGCGAATTTTAAAGAAAGATTTACATCTTCACCCGTACAAGATTCAGTTAGTACAGGAATTAAAAGATACTGACACTATCCACAGACTAAATTTCGCAAATGAAATGTTGAACCGCTTTACTTCGTTTAATAACGTGTTATTCTCTGATGAGGCTCACTTTCACATCAACGGCCATGTCAATAAGCAAAATTGTCGCTACTGGAGTTGCGAAAATCCAAATCGCAAACATCAAAAGCCCTTACATAGCCCTAAAGTGACAGTTTGGGCGGTTATGTCAGCGCATGGCATTATAGGCCCTTACTTTTTTGAGGACGGCAGAGGCCGCGCGCTTACTGTTACTTCACAACGGTATGTAGCTATGATCCAGGACTTTTTTACACCAGAGTTGTAGAATTTTCCAGGCTTCAATACGCGGACCTGGTTTCAACAAGATGGAGCAACTGCCCATACCTCTAACGTCGCTATGCCGGTCGTCCGTCAACTTTTCCCTAATAAAGTGATCTCTCGAAGAGGAGATATTCCTTGGCCACCACGTAGTCCAGATCTGACCCCAATGGACTTTTTCTTATGGGGTTATCTTAAGACTAAAGTGTACGAAACCAACCCGCGGACAATTGACGTCCTGAAAGAAAATATCCAAAGAGAAATGGCAAACATTACAGAGCTTACTTGCCACGCAGTGATGGATAATTTTAAACGTCGCTTACAGGAGTGCCGCGATCGTAACGGATTACATTTAGATGATGTAATTTTCAAAAAATAATTCCCATTTTATAAGGATTATGACAAAATAAAAACCTTTTTCATAATGTCATTAGTTTTTTTTTAATTATTTTTTTACATTTCAAGGGACTTATGGGCCACCCGTATGTATTTCAAATCTGGCTCATACGAGATCACTGTCTATCTGGGACTACGTAGTTGTGCTACAATAGTGCAGATGGTCCGAACAACAACCGAGGCGTAAATCATACTCGTACCTACAATGATTCCAAACGACTGCATCAGGGATGTTGCGGATATTTCACATTCGCATCCGCATCCTCGTCTACAATAATGAATTATGCGGGGGGCCAGAGAGCGCAAGAGTGATGCGCATGTATGGTACTTTCACTACAATGAACAAATTTTTTAAATTATAATACTAAAAAAATTGTCAAAATATATAAGATAATATGAAATAATACCATCTATTTCTAGTTTCATGTTGCTAAAACTAAACTAAATTCCTCGAGGCTGAAAGAACCCAGAGATGCCTACTTAAGACAATGTTTTTTAAACCATTTAGTTTTCATACTGATGAACTATATTTACTTCATAAAATATTGTTACTAAGAAAACTCTATATTATCAAGTCTGTACTTAAATTACGTAAGTCCTTGCCGTATGAACACAAAATTTAAACAGGTAGAAGGAAGTGTAAAGTAGCTCCTATTACTCCATGTAGAACTCTTTTTGCCAGACATCAGTTTCAAGCTCACTCTGCCTATCTCTACAGTAAGCTTCACAATAAATAGTCAATATATAACCTTCAACTATATCAATGTAAGAAAACAATAGTTTGCTGGCTCGAGACGCTAGGGTACCATGACGTGGAGGACTTTTTATTTAAATACGAATCGTAGACAATACAAATTTTAATGATTTATCAACACACATGCAGTCATTCTCAGAAACATGCACTCACTCTCTCTCTCTCCCTCTCTCACACACACCCACACACGCATGCACACACACACAAACACACACACACACACAGACACACACACACACGTTCGACATAAAATCTAGTAGTTATTAACCGATCCCAAGATTTTTTATCGTAGGGCTAGATGAAGATGAAAATGATTAATACGGAATCACAGTTTTGGCACAATGTAATATTTAAAATTTATCATTCATTTAGTATTCTAGCCCTTGAAATATTGTAAAATCTATAGTTTAGTTATTTAATAACACTAAAAATAAATATTGTATAATCGGACCAATGGAAGAGCAGAGTCACCCAACCCACAAAATAATGCTTGTAGACCTGAGTTAACGAAATAAACATTTTTTTTTATTATTATTATTATATGTCTCATAAAAACTTACACCCGCATCCGCAGATGTGAGTGTCAAGAAATTAGATGGATGTACAAAATGAGATGTAACAAAGATGTAACAAATTCTGCATCCGCAAACATTACTACTTAGCATATAGAACAAGCTTCGCCTTTCCTTATACGGGCAATACATATATATTGGCTTTGATATAGTCACGACTAGCCTTGCACTATTTTTTAGTTTAGGCCGTACATTGTGTTACTTTTTTACATTTGCAGGTTATACGCTTATAGTAAAATGCAAATCCGGTCCAGACAGAGACAATAATGTTGCCAGCATTAACCAGTTTATAATAGAAAATTTCAAGGAAGCGAAACTAATGTAAGTTATTGTTTATGTACAACTTCATGAAAATTATAAAAACTTATAATAATGTATGGTAGTAAATACCTGCAATATTGCGGTTTTTGTTATGTCATATCATCTTCATAGCTGATATAAAAACGCTGCTCAATATAATCCAAAACGTAACATGTTTTTTATGCGTGTTACCTCATTACTTTTTTCTGGGTGAACCGATTTCGATGATTCTTTTTTATTTGAAAGCTGGTACTTCACATGTAGTTCCATATAAATTGGATCAAGGTCTAACCTGTAGCTATTGAGTTATTCTTAATAATTTATATTGAAGTCGGTTGTACAAAATTTTTAATTTTAAAATATTGTTTAATACAAGAGTTGCTATTGATTTTTATCTATTAAATAATTATGCAGTGAAACATACCTGGGTATCAGCACATACTACGTAAAAGATACCAACTTGCCGTGGTGGCGCATATTTCACATAATGGAGGAAGGTCGCCAGCAATTTCCTATAGAAGACTACTCGGTCGCACAAACCACGCTGGAGCAAGTGTTCCTCGGTTTCACGAGAATGCAAGGTAACAAAGAATAATACTCAATAGTTAAAAATTCATCGCACTTCAACAGAAGTTGACTCACAGGTCACAGGTACAAATATTTTTACAAGTTTTTGCTTTTACTGTTTTGTTATGTAAAGCGAAAATCATATATCGAGTTTCTTTTATTTTTACGTTTAAAATATATTTTTTACGAAATAATATCGAATAGTAATCAGTTTTAGTATAAATTTAGTTAATTTTTGTATTACTTTTATTGTTTACGATTTAAATAGACAATACTTAATATGTGTTGCGTATTTGCGTACGCATTATGCCATAAAATTTTATATAACTTAAAACGGTGACTGAGATAATATTATCAAACACTCCTAAAAGACCTCGTTTATATGAATCTCTATGATATAATAGCTGAATTTTAATAGAGTATTTACGCTAAAAGTTTAACTCAACTTATCTAGTACTTACAGATGTGTAAAACTCAATGTTAATTATTTTGTATTGGTGTTTCATGTTTAGGCGTGTATTTGGAACAATATATGTATTAGTGTTGTTGACAAGATTTACTGTAATTGACGGAATTAAAATTAATATGGATGTACTCAAATTAATTGAACAATAAATAAAATAATATATTTGTACTATTCGTTTTCTATAAAATATAACTTGATATGCATTACAGTTCCAATCAGTTACAAAAGGAAGGTTGTCTATTAATAAAATGATCTATGAAAATAATAACTTTAAATTAGGTAATTAATAAATAGTCTTTTTCGAAATAAAAACTATGGTCTATACGAGATAGAGTATGCGAATATACTGTATGTGATTTTTATTGGTGAATGTAGGTAAATAAAAGGTACCCAAAGGATCATGTAATTATTTGTTACAAAAAATATATAATTAGTAAATAAACAGTTATAGTTCTGAACCGTAAAGCGTATCAATGTATATTTCGATTGTACTAGCAAAAATGGTAGCTAACTTTCAAGACTGAAAGTCCAGTTCGCCTATCAGCCGTTTTTAACAATACTTTTTTATAAAGCTTTATGAATGGCTCGTAACTGAAAGCCATATTAAACTGAATTTTGTATTTAATTTAGAAAAATATAGCGTATTATTGAATGTATTATATTTTATGGTACTTATTTAGCAAAAGATATGGTGCTTTAAGAATGGATGCTCAGATGCTGGTAAGTAGTTTAATTGAACTGCGTTACATATTAAAAATGTACTAAGTATGATTATGAAGTATTTTATTTAGCAAATCAATTCTTTTTAGTTATATGAGGGCTAATTGGCAAATATATTTATTAGACGTTTTGATTCAAAGAAGTCGGACCAAATCAAAAATTATATTTTATTTGACGCAAATATTATTCATTGTTACCAACCCTGTGATACGAAGATTTCACGGGTGGAAATTATTAAAAAAATTTTAGTATACTCCTAAATAAATATCAATTTAATTGTAATTTCTTACAAAAATAGCTACTTTTGAAGTACGTCTTTGTAATATTTTAAATCAAAACGCTTTAAAGCATTGCTTATTTAGTGTTTAAATAGTACAATTATTGTGACTGTAAAACGAGATCAATAGGTAAATATGAATATGGCTGTCTTATTAGGTACACCATTAAAATTATATGTTTACTGTGTGTAATGTTTTCGGGTCTTTTCATGTTTGCAGTGAAGTATTAAAAGGTTTATCTCGAATTGAGAAAATTTACCATAATGCAAGGATTTTTTGTTGTCGCGCTATGTCCGCACGACGTACATATAAATATAAAAATTCACGAAATCGCCATTCCGTACTCGTACAAAAGAGAAGGAAAATACAAATACGAGAAGGAATATGTATATTTTTCTTTAATTTTTTTATTTTCATTAATTTTGCTTGCTAGATCTCTAATAACGGCGGTATATATATGACGGTACGTATAAACGTAATCTGAGACGAAGCAAGATTTAATGAAGCCTTTAAGAAAAAAAAATATAAAAAAGCGTTTAATATTACCGTCGTATAAAATATATTCAAAACTTATAAGACTTGTCAATTTTTATAAGTTAACTGATAATATGAATATGAATTATATTTTACAATGTATCAATAATACTGAACAGCCATATTCATGTTCGATTAAAACAGTACTTGTGTAAGCACAAACATTCAATGTATTGTCAGTTTATATGACTTAATTTAATAACGGAATAATTATTTGTGATACAATTTGTGATCAATTTGTTCGCCGCTAATTGCCATGCATAGTTTTTCTCAGTGTTTATTTATAAGATAACTTTCACGCTTATTATAAGATTTTATGTTCCTAATGAAATGGCTAAAGCCATGTGTCACAATATTATGCCAGTTATTAATGTATTTCTGTATGTACATTGTACAGTATTATTACTTGACAACTCAGTATGAAATTTTTGAATCTCCGCACTCGACTTAAAATAATTTTAAGATTGTTTTGGTTCTTAAGTTGTACACTAATGGCTATAATGTGATACCTGCCAGCAATGTTACTTATTTCTGCATCTGTACTTTTTAAGAAGTGTTCGTACATACAGCTCGTATTATGTATCTTTGTAGGTTTACAAAACTTTTAATAAAATAAAATGGTTCTTTACCGAAAACTTGTTTTATTTCGACACCGGCATTTGTACAAATAAAAAACACGAATGCAAATATTTATATATATATATATGTATACAAACTATAATATAAACAAAAAAGAAGATACAGTAGGCTCGGACAATATATCGATAACTGGACTACGTACACAAACTTATCCATACATAATTAGAAACCAACAGACACGAGACATTCGTAATGCTCTCGTTTGTACAATAAGATGGCCGGTCTATTTTTTGTTTTTTACTTATTATAAGCCAGTGCTTGACCACCCCACAATGATGGTGAGTGGTGATAAAGCCCTAGTTGGTAAATCGCACTGTCTCTCAGCGTAACAAAAGCCTATTCACTATTGTCTTGAAGAAGCCCTGATAATATATAATATTATACAACATGTAACAAAAACCCTGTGGTTCCCGTTAAGTACGTTATCAAGATCAGTATTCAAACCTATGGAATAACTTTTTAAAAGTCGACCATATTTTTTGTAATTATATAAAAAAATATTTTTTTTAATTTTATGTGGTTTTATTACCTCTTACTGACACTAGCCGATGCTAAACCTAAGTAAAGTGGGGTTTGAAAATCCTCTTACTCCCCAGACAATGCAGAAGTAATAAAACCACATATAATTTGCAAAAAAAAGTTATTTCTATACGTTTGAATAATGATCCTGATAACGTACTTAACCGGAACCACAGGGTTTTTGTTACATATTGTATACATTTCGTAAATATTTGTTTTAAAAATGAGGAAATAAAGTTCTCATACATGAAAATACATGACTTCGTGTGACTTATTTTGCCCAAATGATTATATAGTATATTTACTTAAGTTATTTATATTAAATAAGTTAGTTTGTTCTCTCACGGCTGTACCCATAGAATGCCTTTTCGGAATTAAGTTCGCCTTTGTACCATTTTTTTTATTTGAGTGCAATAAAGATTTTCTATCTATTTACAATATGATCAGCAGGGCATTTCGTTAATTATTTGAGGAAATCTACAATAACATGGTTATTTTTTCGAGAACAAAGTACAAGTTGCGGCACGTAAGTCTAGCGCTGAACGAAACGTGGAGGTGATGGCTGCGCATCGCGCACGTATCAGTACGGGGGACAGAATGCGACTGGAGAGCCAATCAGCGCGTGCGATGATACGCACCAGCCAATCAGCGCGTGTGAACGACAGCGCCTGCCCCGCGACCCGCCTCTTTACTTTCGGCATGCGCAATAACGTTCAACGCTAGACTTACGTGCCGTGACTTATATATGTGTTTTACAACAATAGTACCGACCGCAACCACGTGGTAGTGCGTAATTTAGACATAGTTTTCTTGGACTACTTTTTGCGGCTTATTACCGTATCTTCCCTTTTTGTTTATATTAATGGTGTATTACGATAGAATGTATAAAGATATTTAATAACATGAAGTACAGTCGGTGCAATAATTTACATGTTTATTTATTCCTAGATTTCTTTGGAACAAAGATACAAAAAATATCAGTTGACCAAAATCATAATCCTGGGTCACAACGGAAGTTTAACTATAGTTGTTTATAATAAAATTACACTTTTTAAATGTAAAAATAAGTGTTTAAAAACCACTACATATTATAGTCATAATGTATAACCATTATAAAATTCAACTAATATAAATCTTTAGACTTGTACGGACAAAGCGTTCCAATGTATGCGTAATCTAGGTGTGTTAAATACGCGTACAGGGCGCCTGCCCTGTACGCGTATTTAACACACCTAGGCACCTTTATGCATAGCGGGGTTAAGTCCAAATTGAGCGTTCACATCAGCTTTGATGCGCGCAACCAAAAGCACTTAGCTCACTTAGCAAAAAGGACATCCAAAAGCCTATATTTATTTAAATACTAGCTGGCCAGGCAGCCTTTGTTCTGCCCTTTCCGACGACCCTTTGTTCTTCAAATATCTTTAAATTCACAATAAAAAATATTGAGGGTCAATTATCGGGAACAAATACCCTATCTCTCAAGTTGAAGCAAGCAATACACATTTACACAAATTAATTAAAATTGGTTTAGTGGTTTCGGAGTTCATCGCGGACAAACTGTGACACGTAATATTTGTATGATGTATAAGTTAAATATTCACAGGGACAGGGAAAGAATGGAAATATTCTGTTATAAAAATATAGTTTATATAATTTGATTCAATGTAACAGTAGCATTTTTAGATTAAAAATGTGTATTGTATGATTTAATATAAACATAGAGAGCTCTTTATCTGTATTATATTAATTAATATTCTTCATAATTATCATCATCATCTAAATAGATAAATCTATAAATTCGTATATTATCACTTATAGTACTTAACTGACTTTGTCGTGCATAGATAATAATGATTTTATTATACGAGATATGCAATCAAAAATTGTATTTGTGAACACAATTTTATTTTTTCGACTTCACCCGAAGCGTTGTGAATTAATAAAAACTATCGCCTAAGTAACGATGCATCGTTAAAGACATTCAAAACTCAAATGCCATCAATATTTAGCTCAACCAAATCACTAAATTAACTAATAGCGGGATGTCTACGATGCTTGTTGAAGACCCTCTCTTTGATACTTGGTGAACTGGAGGAATATCTGCTCGAGAGTTGTCTGCGATATGGTGTAGTCTTCGACTTCCAGGTCTCGTTTCGCGCGTTCTAATATACCGAACATTTTCGACCAGGGTACGCTTCGATCGGGTAAATAGTAAGTTAGCAAACCTTGATATTCTTCCCTGAAAAAAAAAACAACAGCAAACTAAAGTATCAAGTCTACATTCAATGTCACCTTGTAGTGTAAGAATGGAATGGAAACCGTTATAACTGTGGCAAAAGTTAGAGTATATGTACGTCCCACTGCTGGGCACAGGCCTGTTCTCAATTCCGAGAGGGTTTTAGGGCAAGGAAGTGTCCGCCGGGCTGCCCCAATGCGTGTTGGCGGACTTCACATGTCTTCGAAATATTTCTCAAACATACTCGTATAATATGATTTACACCGGCGAGCACGTGGTAAATCAGCACTTAAAATTGCAATTAACAGTTTCATTGAATGAATCGAACCCGGGTTGCTCGCGTACTATGAAATTTACAGCGAGAAGCCCAAGAGCTTACGGCTATGTAACTGTAGAAGATAATTTAAATTAAAAAAAACAACTATGATTTTTCCATAATCTAGTATCGAAAACATAGTTAAGGAATAAGTACGGCTAAAATGAAACTTAATAATAATTAAAGTGAAGCCGCGTGCTGTAAAGTGCTAAATCTGGCGGGTATTCGATGGATCCAGGTGGACCTTACTTGTGGCAATCTATGCCGTATGTTGACCTGACGTAATTGTCAAATCTTAAAAACAATTTGTATTACCGTTAGGTGTGATATTGGTACCGTATCGCTGAATGAAAATGCTAGATAACATATAGATAGGTGTTAGTGATGACATATCGTTATCGGTATAGCTCTTAAATAATATTAATCGTTTTAACAACCCTGCCACACACTCGTCGAGTGGCATGGGAAGTAGAGAGGAAAGGAGGCAGAGACGTACTGTGGCAACCATACTCGTCATGCCGCACGCCATGCTCCTCGTCATACCCATCGCTCCCTAGTTTGTTGGTTTATGGGCGCGAGTCAAAGGACTGGCAATATGAGCGCGAGTGGCCGGCCACATAATCGAACGCTGTCGGAATCGAGCGCTCGCTACGGAAGCGTCGTTCTATTGCGATGAATAAATGTCATCCACCATCTCTGTTGGCGAGAATGACGACCTATAATATTTCTTTTTATGACATAGATATAATTAGCTATACTAAATATGAATATAGCGCGCACGCTGCCACAGTTTCAACATCCATTGTATTGCAAACGCAAGCTACCTAGTGCGGAGCGTCGCGATTAGTTGCGCGAGTAGAGCAGTGTATGGGCACAGAGGGCAACATTGCGGCAGCGCGAGGAGCAGAGCGGTGGGCGCGGGTGGCGCGAGGAGCATAATGTGGCGGAGCCATAAAGTAGAAATAAATTAAAACTCGCTTCGTTTACATACTCAAGACGATATATTTTGTTTTTACCGTGTTGAGTAAGATTATAAGATTTAAATGAAAAAGTGTCACACATCACCACATCGACAACATTTTTAAGTTCGCTGCTCAATATATATTTTGCTTATGCTCAGTGCTCACCACGCTAGGCAGGCGGGCATAAGAAATCCACTGCAGATTTATCACAAAAAGTCACACCACAATGCCAATGCCAGTATCTTAAATTATTATTGGATTTCGCAAATTTGCTTTTAAGGAAAGAAGACACATCTTAAAACTTTAACTTACATTAACTTCGGAGTAATAAAATTACAATTTATGTAATTTTTAATCTCTACGACGGTATTTTCGTTAGGCGTTCCATCTTCATTCATCTTCATTTTTATTGTTAAAGTGAAACCTGGGAACGGATGGAAATTAAATTATTAATAAATTATGCAATCCGTTACTCAACATTCCCATATCGTGAATAATTAGGGATGTAGTGAAATTTAATTTATATAATATGTTATTCGATGGCTTGGCACGATGGTTAAATGATCAAATTAATAAGATGTAGCTCTTTACTGAGATGCTAGTCAGTAGTAGAAAGTGCTACAAGTAATTACAGGTTCTATAAGCATTGGCAAGTAATAATAGATTTCACAAATACGAGTATCTGTAAATTCAACAAGTAATTATAGGTTCTGTGATTATTTGTAAATTCTATAATTAACAATAGGTTCCACAAGTATAAATTATATGAGTATTTGTAGTTTCTACGAATATTCATAAGTTCTGCAGAACGTTATTGGTTCTACAAATATTCGTAAGCTCTACAATAAATTGTAGGTTCTACGAATATTCATAAATTTTGCAGCAAGTTATTGGTTCTACGAATATTCGTAAGTTCTACAATAAATTGTAGGTTCTACGAACTTTCATAAGTTTTGCA